GCTGTTTCACTATCCGTTAGTTTCACTGTTAGTTCACAAACCTAAGACCACCCATTTATTGTATGACCCTGGCTCCGCATCCTTTTTTAGCAAAAATCATTCCTTCACGAGGAATGAGTCACATACACAACGACCCTGATGATCTTCAACTAACTAGTCAATAAATGATGAAGTGCAAGTTCTAGATCCCTCTAAACTGCTAGACTGAGTCACCCTGATGGATAGATTTATCACAGACTATCCAAAGTTTCTAATACTAGCACTAACTGTATAAAATAAGGGTTTGCCATTGCCTTCCACTGAGTCAGATGACGCTCTGAGAAGTATGCACCTTTACACAGCAAGCTAAGGCTACATCAGTAACTTGACATTTGGTCAGCAGCTGGTAATAAGTACTGCAAGAGTTGAACCTGGGGCCCATGTTGTTCAGTATCTTCATGGGCAACCTGGATGATGTGACAAAATGTGCTCTCAGCAAATTTGCAGGTGGTACTAAATTAGAGGGAATGGCTGACAGGCCAAATGGTAGAGCTTCGATCCAGAGGCACCTGGAGAAACTTGAGGATAAGGCCAGCAGATGCATCCTGCAGCTCAGCAATGAGAAGCATGCGTCCTGCATCTGGGGTGGAATAACCCCATGTGTCAGCCCAAGCTGGGAACTGACTGGCTGAAGGGAGCTGGAGTTACACATAGTGGCCTACATTAGGAGAAGTAGGGTCAGCAGATCAAGGGACATCAGTGTCCCTGTAGACTTGACACCTGTGAGGGCACATTTGGAATGTTGCATTCAATTTTCTGACCATTCACAAGTTCAAAAAGGAAGCAGAGGAACTGGGAAGGGTCCAGCAGAGAGCTCCCAAGATGGTTAGAGGCCTAGAGCATGTCACCTACATGAAGAAGCTGAGGAAGTTGGGCTTGTTGAGTCTGGCAAAAAGAAGGGTGAGAGGCAATATAATACCAACCTACAACTCCATGAAGGAGAGTTACAAAAATCATGGAGCCAACATCTTTGGCAGTAGTAGATGATACAGTGAAGGGCAACAGCCACAAGCTATGGCTTGAGAGGTTCAGACTGGACTTTGGGAAAATTTCTTTATCAGGAAGGCAGCGCAGAGAGATGGTGGGCTCTCCATCCTTGGTCTTTTCCAAGACATAGTGAGACAGAGTCACAGGTGACCTAATCTCATATGGGGGATAGTCCTGCTCCAAGCAGGGAGTTGGACTAGAGACCTCCAGAGGTTGGTTCCAGCCCACACTTTAATGACCTATGATTCCCAGAGTTGGCTGTATTTATTTCATCTCTGAAAACGGAAGCTCTATAATCCCCTCAGCATGATGACCTGGAGAGCAAAGTAGCACTGCTGAGAGGCTCCAGTGAGGCCTTGATTACTCCCCATGTCCCAGGAAAGAGCAGGAGAGACTGAACACCAAACCCTCTGCACTGGCAGTGAACTGATGAGACAAACCCAGACAATGCAAGCATGTGAACTGTGTTTCTGCCACAGAAGAAAATGAAAATCATTTTACAGACTCTGTTTTGTCTCATCCAAGGGGAAATTTCTCTTCAACCACAAATGATGACAATCACTTGAATGTGGGCATATGAGCAAAGCTTATCAGAAAATCACAAAAGGAGGATTTCCTGTACCCTCTCACATACTGGACCATCCTTGACTATCCCCAGGTGTAGCCCATCTCTGATGCTTCTGAGGAAGTCAAGAAAAAGCCCAGAATACATTCAGCTTTGTGCACCAAGGTAAAACTCCCGACTGGTGGCTGCAGGTTGCCAGCTGAAGCATGGGATTCAATTATACTCAGGGTCTTGAGGTGAAGTATAGATCTTATGATTGCCTTGAGGGCCATGCTGATAGTCCAGTTTTCTTCAGAGCCCATGAAGGAAGGGGCTAAGCACCGGTCACAGGGGTCTGGAGCTTCGGAGACAGACAGAACCACCATGATCTTACAGTACAACCTGTACACATGACAGCAGTTACAGAGCTCTGCCTGCCATCAGTTTGTTACTGCGTTGTAGTAATGAACAGGAAGGAGACGCTGCCTCTTCCTGACACTTTTATTGCAAATGTCTGATGAAGGAGAGAGAGATTCTGATTTGCATATGCTGGGGTTGAAATAGATAAACAATCATTTTGAAAAATGAGTGTATGCATATATAAGGACCCACTCATGTAGTTAAACCTTCCATCCAAGGAGAGATGAGCCTGATGCTGATTGTTTATGTTCATGCAGTAATATTTCTACGGAATTGCTTTTCTTGGATGAAAAACAGAAACAACCACGTCAACACACTTCATTTTAATGTCCATTTTATTGTAATTATCTTGCCATTCTCTGAGCTTTCAGCATCTTGTTTTGGCGTTATAAACACCTGTGCTTGCAAACCCTAGGCAACATAAATAAAAAGAACATTTTGTTACAATAATATCTATAGAAAACCAGATTGGTGCAAAATATGATACTTGCAGCTTTTCAGGTCCCCTATATCCATACACAAACAAATAACATATAAAGCATACTTATCCAAAGTGTTAACTCTTTTTGTGTTCATTATTATTGTTCATATGTCACAGGAGCATAGAGAGAAAGGATGGGCTACATGATAAGATGCTTGCCTGGACCCTGGGAGAAACAGTCACATTTTCCACACATTTCCTGTGTGACTTTGAGCAAGCCACTTAATCCTTTCATCTTCTCATCATCTATAGTATATTCCACTCATAATATCAAACAGTGGCAATAACTCCTGTTCCACAAGAACTATGTGTAGACAATACCAACCCTGATTGCACTTATGTATGCAAGGATAGGTGGCTAAAGTCAAAAATATTGTGGACGTCTAACCTTTAAATTCACACTTTTTGGATATAGACTGTAGATCTTCAAAAGAGCACAGTCTCATGTGGTAGGCTCCATAAATATGTATAGGAAACAGAGATCATTTCCAAAAAAATTATAATCAGAGAAATAATACTATCCTCATTCTTAGATAAGTAGCTGAGATGCAGCTACTTTAAGAAACTTGCCTGACATCTGGTGAAGAGCGTAGGGCAATGGTGGGAAGTTAACCTAGAGCTCCTGAGCTCATCCGTCCTTTAAGTACACGCTCTCCATCAGGGTATAGAGGGAGGGGAGACAAGGTGGCATCCCAAGAATTTTGCGTTGTCATAGGATTCAGGAGGGAAAACTGTTCCTTCATTGGCCTGTGTTGACAACTCCAATAAAAAGCAGTGGAAGGAAATCCTCCTAAACACTGTTTAAGCTAAGGATTTAGAAGATGAGCAGCGACTAACTGATCCCATTATCATACCTAACTCTTGGAAAAAAAGACTGTTATTACACCTCTGTTGCTGCTGGTATCACCACTCAGAGGAACAGAAGGGGTGGCATTGCAGAATGAGATTGTAATGAGATAGATACACAGCTCTGAGATAGGCTGGAAGAGGCCTGGAAGATCAAGTGACCCTGTTCCAGGAATGCAGTGTTAGGTACAGATCTGCAGAACAATGCTGGCAGAAAGTCAGCCTGAGTAACATTAGGTACTTTGAGACACAAGACATTTTAGGGACTAACACCCAGACCTTTTTAGCCTATGACAGGGCAGGTCCCATCCCAGAACAATGTGCACAAATGGAAAGAAACCAGCATATAATGTCTCTCTTGCCCTTAGAACAAGAGAAAAGGGGTTGAGCCTCAGGGTAATGGGAAACAACAGTGACTGCAGTGTGTTAGGTATGGGTGAGAGCACCGCCCATAACATTTTTGTGCTGTGCCTTTAGAATGGAATGGAAGTTGGTGGAAATGGCTGTGGTGAAAAATGTATGAGAACTGAGATCTCACCACCTTCCTGCACACTGATCTAAGGTTGCACTGTCCTCATGGTAAAGAAATTTTCCTGAAGTCCAGCCTGAACATCAAGCCACAACTTGTGGCTGTTGCCCCTAGTTGCTACTACCAAGAAGAGCCTGGCTCTGTTGTCTTGACAACTCCTTCTTGACCAGAAGTGCCCAACACTGGATGCAGTATTTCAGGTGTGAACTCACCAGTGTTGAGTCCAAGGGGACAGGGTATTTCCTTGATCTGCTGGCCACACTTCTCCTAATGTAGCCCAGCATGTGGTTTCTTTAATTCACAATGACAGTATCTTGCTGGCACACACGCTGTAGATTTTTTTTTGCTCACTTTGTCACAAGAGAAATTATTTGTCTTCGGGGGAATTACAGGAAGGGTGTTGGGTGACTGTCAGTACTTGAGTGGTCACCCATGTCCTCACCATGAATGGATGGATCCCAGATGACAAATGCATTCTCAACTGGGTAAACTAACAGAGCTTTAAAGCACTTCTCCTCTCTTGTTAGCGGTTTTTCTATGGGAGATGTAGGATGATTTGGGCTGAAATTGGTGGAACCACGTACTGAGACAGACAAAGGACTGTTGTGACTGTGCACCTGGGAGAACACGGACAACAACAGGGAAAAGCATGCTCCCAGAGTGAACACCTGACTAGAAAAGTTCTTTTTGTTGTCAATGTGGTGTACCCATGCTTTATTTATTTGAGAAGGTCTGCAGTCACAATGAGCAGAACTAGGTGGAAATAATTATAGGCATTGCCAGGAATGGCTTAGGGTCACAGCCTGCTATAAGAATAATATTTCATTGTCAGTCTTTTGTTGCCTGTCGCCTTGAAACGTAAGAGCTAAGATTCTGATGAACAGCTCTTCTTGGGATGGAAAATTCAAAAACACATATGCCTTTGGAATCTGTATGTAATCTGCCAAGGCAGAGCTGCAAATGAGAAAAACATGTCCCCAAAATTGTAAGAAAAAGTGAGGATTTATGGTTCTAGACCGTTTCAGCTAGACATTTTTGTGACACTTTCATTGTACTCATTATTCGTTACAGAAAAATATTTTCTGAGCCTTGAAAATGAAGGTGCTGGGATAAACCATGAGGGGCAGGCCTCCATACGCCAGGAGGACGTTATCTCAGTTTGCATCCCTGGTGGCTGGAGCAACTTCCAGGAACAACTGGAGATGTAAAGTGACTCTCTGTAAGAAGCGAGGGTGGCACTTGAAGCGAATCAGTGGGAAATAAAGAATGATGCCACTTAAAACGAACAGAACGATGTACAACATCTCAATTTGGGGTTGATCAACGATGGGAGCTAACACCAGGTACACAGCTGCCATCAGCACAATTATGGGGATGAAAATTGGGACCTGCGAAAGCAAAACAACAGCGTAAAGATTCACGTAACCTGGGCCACTGTGGGTCTGGACAACCCTGAAACCTCTGCAGAGGCTTTTTAGATGAAACCCTGCTGCAACCGGAGGTATTACCTAGAAATCCCAATTAATCCAGGCATCCTGTTTCCCAGCCCACCCCCACTCCAAGGCCGAACATCCCTGCAAGAGCTACACCACCACCACACACCCTAACCCCTGGTCTTCCCTTCCCTCCAAGACCTGAAGATACAAACTACTGTTTTCAATGCCAGGTCTGTTCATGCTCTCCCTACTACCTTGCCTCCAAAAGCTGAGCTGTAGACAAAACACACAGCAATGTGTACAAATCACATAACGGAACCTTAGCACCCTTGGGCAAAAAGGTTTATTTATGTGTTGACTGATAGGTGGACAGGCAATCTCAGAGGCTATTTCTGTAAGTCTGGTCAGAAAGCATCCAAACTTAAATTTGAAGCCATCCTCCCTCAAAGGCTAGTGAATGCACAAGACAAACCTATTTCGCAACAAGGTGAAAAACTGATCGTTCAAGCTGGGATTTTCCATATCTTACTTTTGTGTTTTTTGTCCAACACAAGGGCACTGATGTAGACCAAAGGAAATGTTGTTCACAGTTACCTGTGAGAGCATGGAAAAGACCTGCTGTTGGCTTCATCTGCCTTAGTGGGATGCTCTACTCTGCTCCCTCCCCACTGTGTTCTAACACTTCTGGCAAAATGATCTGTCCCTCAAATATAAACCTGCAACACACATACACAATTTGCAGGACATAGCCATGCATTGTCAGTCAATCAGTTGACCTGGAACCTTCAGACATGAGC